TTTTCCGACCTACTTTTAGTTTATCCGAACTTTTCCGAAGGGTCGGCTGACCTGTAACCTGTGATTGCCACAGATGGAAGAATGTGAAAGGGCCAATTGAAATCACAATTGCTTTCAACGTGTAAGGCTGAAACCGCAGCTCGACCTTCTGCCTGAGAGGTTATCCTCATTTCTCAGGCTGGAAACAACAAGAGCTTCGAGCCGACTTGTAAAGGTACTTGAAACTACCTGCATGATTCCTTCCCAGCTTATGATATTACTGGCGCATCAGTGTCACACTCATATCAAAATCCCTCAGTTATACTTTCTTGTCTGCGAGTCTGGACACGCGACTCCCTTGACTCGACTTCGCGTTGGTTGCCTTAACCTGGTTGACACATAAAGCCACCAGGTTTCTATTTCTATTACCTTACTATCACCATTATTGGTATTCGAGTTACATATTATTACCTTATACCTGAAAATTTGACTCTTCACTTTTGTCTCTATTTTCCCTAATTTCTCTCCCCTGTTCATCTTCTGTGCTTTTATTCCCCCCGCGTTTTCGATTTTTAGTTTTTTCCTCTTTCGCATCTGATCACTCTTCTCTCCACTCCTCTAGATTCTCAAGGTCCTTTTATCACGAGTGCTGCTCTCGCCTCAATTTTACATCTCCTCCATGGATTCTACCCGCACCGTCTGAAAGTGAAACTCAACTCGAACCTCCCAAGTCCAAAGTCAACTTTTCCCCGCAGTCCGCAAGTCTTTACTGTAACGCTCCACCCGTTTCAGTTCTCTACATACTTCAGCCGCACTGTCATCAGTATTATTATTATTACCATATATCACGTCCGCGTGATCGATTCAGATCCCATTGTTGGACCGTATTGACCGCGGTTTCGTGTCTTGGTTTGCGCCTCGGTTCACTGTCCCAGGTATCCAAGGTCGTCCTGTGCTCCGGTTGTCGGTTTGCCGCTCGCCCCATCCACATCCCTACAACTTCGAGACGACAGCGGTTCCCATGTGGTACATCGTTTATCCGGGGTAAAACGCGAAGCGTAAAAGTTTCAGCCTTCAATCTGGATACCCTGAGGAGTGTTTCGTTCTCAGTGCGCATATCATCGAAGAATTACGTTCGTCCGGTGACGGAGAAGGAAGAACCAGAGGTGACAAGCGATAGCCGACGGCTTTTGACGTGACGTCCTCCGCTCGCCGCAGTGGACGCGCACACGACAATACCCCCAGCCATTACCACCGAGACACACGAATGTCGACATGAAGATGGAGGATAAGGAGAGCGCTCCAGCTCTAGCTGGCGATCATGGTGGAGTCGATCAGGATACCCCTAACGTGGGCGATCGCACGGAGCAAGCGAAGCACAAGACCAACGGCGCTACCGAGAACGCCCCAAAATCAGCCAGTGCGAAGGATCCGTCAAGACCGCGAAGGAAGAAGGCAAGGAGGGCTTGTTTCGCTTGTCAACGGGCGCATTTGACTTGCGGTACGCTTGTGTGACCTTTCTGCTTTTCTGAGTTTGATAATTCTTGCTCGCTTCTTCGCGCGCGAATTGACTCTGTCTCCCGCAATGGAAATGAACCAACTGACAGAGAAATTACCTCTTAGGTGACGAGAGACCGTGCCAGCGCTGTATCAAACGTGGTCTTCAGGATGCGTGCCATGATGGTGTGCGGAAGAAGGCTAAATACCTGCACGATGCGCCGGACGGAGCGTTGATGCCTGGAGTTGCTGGAAATTTCTACAACAACGCGATGCGAAACAATTTACCCTTGTCTCGAAATGGCGCCAACGCGGTCAATACAACATCTCAGCAGAATTCGGGGACCAATTACTACCCCACCCCGCAATCGAACTCTTACAGTGTCTACCAAGATACCCCTCTGGCACAGAGTTCTTTCCCTTCGCAATCCCCCGTTTCCCCGACCTTCAACATGAAGAGTACTCCGACGGCTCGAAGTAACAGCTTGTCATCCTCTGTGAACCCACAGCCACCCAACACGACCGTATCGGGCCCCCCCAGCCAGAGCCAGAATCCCTTTGCCGGGCCGTTCTTTGACCCGAGCGACCCTGCTCTCTTCAACTTTGACCTTTCTAGCATGAACTTTGAGAATCGCTATGGTGCGTTGGAGTTTGGGATGCTCGGCCATATGGCGACCGGTGCTGGTGACTCTCCCACTGATTCCGCCACCCAGCGAGGATCAATTGGTCGGAGTGGTTCGGCGCAATACTCTACGACACCCATCACCGGGCCTCCTGGCTTCGGGGAGAGTCCTGGGAACCAGCAACCTTTCATCTTTGGCAACGATCCGCTGCTGAACGAATGGCCGAATAGCCAGGCTCCGAATCAAGGGCATTTGAATGTCGGCGGCGTCTATCCCCAGGGCGGCATGATGCACATGGCCAAATCCGATGCGCCACATGCGTTTGCCATCGAGAGCGGACCGGCCAGTTTCTCCAGCCCCAGTGCGACAACCAGCCCTCATATCAACAGCGGGTATGATGAGAGTTCGCTGAGCAATACAGGCGCGAACAAGTCAAACGGCTTGACTGCCAACGGACAACGACCGGCGATCACGACACCAAGCCTGAAGCACCAGAGCTTGCAGTTTGGAGTCAAACGACGTCAGCGGAACCCGTCGACTGTGTATGAGAGTGTGAAAGAGCCGTATGCCTATACGAACCGCTTCCACAATTTGACTGCCTTCATCCAACGGCGCTTTTCCCCGCAAAAGACCTTGCAGATTGCGAAAGCATTAGCGTCGATCCGCCCGTCGTTCATTGCCACGACCAAGACGCTCAACCGGGATGATTTGATCTTCATGGAGAAGTGCTTCCAGCGGACGCTCTGGGAGTATGAGGACTTTATCAACGCGTGTGGGACGCCAACCATCGTTTGCAGACGAACCGGCGAGATTGCGGCGGTCGGCAAGGAGTTTAGCATTCTCACCGGCTGGAAGAAGGATGTTTTACTGGGCAAGGAGCCGAATCTCAATGTCAACACCGGAGGCTCATCGGTTCCCCAGTCCGGCACCACATCCCGCGGCAGCTTTACGCCTCGAAGTTCTACGCTGGAAAATGGCACTTCTGGACGCCCGCAGCMTGTGTTCCTTGCCGAGTTGTTAGATGACGACAGTGTGGTGGAATTTTACGAGGACTTTGCTCGACTAGCCTTTGGTGACTCCCGCGGCAGCGTCATGACCACATGCAAGTTGCTCAAGTACAAGACTAAGGAGGATATGGAGCTTGCACAGTCTGATGACAATCAGAGGTGGAATAATCACTTGCGCAAAGGCGGCATTGCCGGCGAGGCAGGGATGAATCAGTTAGGTTTCAAGGATGGCAAGGTCGAATGCGCATACTGCTGGACAGTGAAAAGAGACGTATTTGACATTCCAATGCTTATTGTGATGAATGTGAGTTTGCCAAAGATTTTGACGGCGCCACGTATACTGATTCCGACTACAGTTCTTACCGTGCATATGACTGAATCACCTCGTCGGTGGTTCATACACGGATGTCCTTTGAATGCTCTGAATGTGTTATTGATCAACTTGTGCATTTGTTTATCTCATACCCTCGGATGGATCAAAAAGCTCACCCCCGGCCGATTGTGATTTATGCTGTTCATTGTTATGCCCTTGAACAGGGCTTCTGCGTGGTACATAACTTTCGTCTTTGGGTGTACGATTGTCGACTCTTGTCGAGCTGTCTTATAAGGGTTCTACTGGGCTCTAATGTCTTACTGGGCCAGTTTGAACATAATTGTTTCTGCCTCTCCGGCATCGCAACGGGAGGCCTTTCTCCCCTGCCCGATGCGTGTGGATGACTTGAACATCGCATTCAAGTATATATTTACCTTCCTTTTCTCCATCAGTCTAGCTAGAGGATGGGTGTCAACAGTGATTATTCTGGCATACGGGGAGTATGAACAAATCAATGACTTTAGTAAATAAGCTATCCGAAGCTTCAGTCCAAAGGTGTTATTTCCAATCTGTAAAGAAGAGATACATGATCTTGTAGCAATTCTACAGCATCTGGATGTTTCCAGCGCCATATGATAATTACCTCGACTCCCACCCGCAGGTAATTATATAACTGTAAAATACCAATGTAGCCAATAATATTTGACCATTGCGGTCATGATCTTACCCCGCGTCGTCCCTCGGGGCTTGCAACAATACGAGCAATCTTCCGTAATGTTTTCGACCAGTTTCCATCGAGTCATACAAAGTAGTCTAACCCCTTCGTGACTCCTCTTTCCCAGCAAGAAAGACCTAAGAGTCCCAAGAGAAGAGAAGAAATCAAAACCGACCCAGCCGAACAACTACAACACCATCAGGCCAACCTCACCATGCGACCAGACGGACCTCGGGATCCCGTCGCGGGGCCAGACAGCGGTCCCGAACCGCCATATCCAGTGCGTCTATCCGGACCCGTGATCAAGGGTTTTGGACGGGGAAGCAAAGAGGTAGCTACGATCTTTCTGCATCTGCATATACGTACAAAGTGACATGGTCCTAACGGTCAACAGCTGGGCATCCCGACGGCCAATATCCCCGCCGAGGGACTCGCGGACTGTCCTGATCTCCAGATCGGGGTGTACTATGGCGTTGTTGCGCTTGATCCAGCCAAGTTCCAGTATCAGGAGGGCGAGGGCTCGTCGACAGCAGGAGCAGACGCAAGAACGACAATTCTGCCAGCTGTGCTGAGTATCGGGTATAACCCGTTCTTTAAGAATAAGACTAAGTCCGTTGTACGTCTTCCCTCGCTACTATTGAGCATCTACATGCATCGTCTGTTTGATATGAGAAAGGTAATGCTAAGGCGATTGCTACAGGAAGTCCACGTCATGCCACCGCTTTCATCCCCGTCGCCGACGGCGGAAGGCGCGGGAGCAGCGGGCCAGGTGAAATTCAACACATTGCCTGACTTCTATGGGACGCAGCTGAAGCTGCTGATTCTGGGGTATATTCGCCCCGAGTACGATTATGTGTCGTTGGAGGCGTTGATCGAGGATATCCGGGTGGACTGTGAGGTTGCGCGGAAGAGTCTGCAGCGGCCGGCTTACCAATGTTATATTGATGAGGATGAGAAGGAGTGTTCGGATGCGGTGAGGGAGCAGCGGAGGTGGTTGGTGACATTTTGAGCTTTCATTATAGATTTGTAGTTGTGTTCTAGACGGATTGTACATAGCTATAAACTGTTGCCTGGCGAGACTCGCGTTCACGTGCATATTCACTAACCAGTACCTCTCCATCAGCCCTACAGAATAACGCCATCAACGAGCTGCGAGCGGATGCGCACGGAGACCCCTGTTGAAATATATGGTTCAATGGATCCACCATTGACTCGATGCGATGGAGTCTGTAGTCCGTTTAGAACACACTGACTGGACCGTGCTGCGGTGCCAATAATCGTCGACGTCAGAGCGGTGTTGGCGCCGAGGAATGTATAAGGCACACATGTAGGACAGGTGGAATGCAAACAAACCAGTTATGGCGATACTGACACTCCGATAGTCTTAACTTATGTCATTCGGCATATCCTATATTGGTTGTCAAAATGCATTGATTGTAGCTAGATTATGGTGAGATCTGTATATACACATCAGCCATATAAACCAGCCAGTGAGTATGTCGAGAATCATTCAGCTAGTACATTGCTAACTTGCAAAGGTCAAATCACTATAATTATCAGCATTGAGATTTCCCAAGGAAAAAGGTAAATCTAGTCTGTAATTAGTACTGCAAGGAATACGCTGCAATGGATAGACTGCGCCAGCATCTCTCTCGACGGCGCCGCAGCAGCAGCAGCTCCAGTGCGACACCTCTGCAGGCCCCCAATTTCCCCAGCACCGACAGGCGCCAGGACGAACGGGACGTACCCCCGCGACGTCTCTATGTAACGTCCGACACGCATGATTTCGACCACAGCATCATTGCGCGCTTCCAGGGCGAAGGGTTCGCGGTGGAGTACTTGCCATTTCCAGGCGGAAACGAAGATATCGAGAGGGATCGCAAGGATCTGGAGCACCTGCTGAACCAGAGGGAGGATGATCTCGAGCCCGGGGAAAGATACGCCGTCGTTGGTATGAAGGCTCTGTATTGTCTAGGTCAAAGCCCATGCTAATGCTACTGAAATAGCATACAATCGGCCAGCATTTCTGCTCCTCGCATCGCACCACCAGTCCATAACAGCCACCAACCCTCTTCCAAGAATGTGCGCTCTAGTTGCCTATTACCCGCGCGGACCGCTTGACGAGACCTGCAAGAAAGAAAGCAATTCCCCAGCATGTCTGCTTCCCCCCTCCACCACCTCAACATCCACCTCCTCCTGCTACGCATCCCTCTCCCTCCTCCCCATCCAGATCCATCTAGCAGGGCACCAAAGCCCCTCCTTCTGGGACGACTACAGCGCCCACCCCAGCAGAAAGCGCCATAGATGCCACTTCTTCTTCTACCCCGAGTCCGAACCGGGCTTCGCAGAGCACCCGAGCCCGACCTACGACCGGCTCAGCTCCCGCCTCGCCTGGAGCCGTGCGCTGGATTGTCTCAAGCGCGGATTCGGCTGGCCCGGCGGCAGCTGGAAGACGCCTGACGTCGAGACGATCTGGGAGGAGTACTGGCGGAACCTGCTCTTGGATGCGGGCCGTCAACCCGACGCGGAGCAACACGCCGCCCAGATCATGAAGATGATGATTGGGAGCGGGGATCCTAGCAGTCTAGACAGGCAGATTGATGAGACGCCGCTGGTGAATTGCGTTCCTACTATGGCTGGGGGTATGTAATGACGCCTTCTGATTTTACCTGATATGCAAATGTCTAGTGTCCTTTTGCTTACTGTCGACGCAGGAAGCGACAAGCAGTCGATTTCAACCTTCTACGAGGAAGCGTTCTTCCCTACCGGTCCCCCATCACAGCGCATCCGCTTGCTCTCGCGCACCGTCGGTCCGGACCGCATCGTTGACGAGATCCTGTTGGCGTTCCGGCATACCGAGGAGATACCCTGGTTGCTGCCGCGGGTCCCGCCCACGGACCGCGACGTGAAGATTGTGCTTGTGATGACGGCCAGTTTCCGCGCGGGCAAGCTCTCCCGGCAGAATATCTACTGGGATCAGGCGAGTGTGCTGGTGCAGATTGGGTTGTTGGATCCGGCGCTTGTGCCGGGGTGTTTCCGCGCGACGGGCAAGACGAGGGAGGGCAGGCAGGATGTGGAAATATTGCCAGTTGTTGGAGCGGAAGGGGTGGAGAGGATCCTGAATGGGTAGAGAGTAGTACAATAGTACTGATTGGACAGTTGAGGAATACAATCGGGCCGAGTCAAGGCTCGGGTATGAATCTTTTCCTATATCGAGTATTTGTGAAATATCTGTTATAAGGCATCCACCAATGATCGCAGAGTAACAAGATCCCTGCTCACACCCCCCGGACTTTTCAATGTCCTCAGACTAGCCTCCTGCGCTAGAGGAATGACCTCCTCGACCGATTTCCCTGATCCCTTTGCAAGCCCGGCAACCACCGCGCCCAGTAACGTGTCCCCCGCACCGTTGACACTCACAATCTCGCCATCCGCCAGGACTCCGGCCGACGGGAAAAGCCGCATATACACCCCCCCGATCAGCTCATCTGTAGGCGAGGCGCGAGAGAGGATATACGGTGCCGAATCAGGAGATGTGAGACGAGCATCTCCCGGACGAAGCAGTTGGGTCACCAGAACCCCCTGAGCGCCCAATTTCGTGATAATGCACGGAATAAAGGGGAGTAGTTGGATGCTCTGCTGCGGAATTCCCTGATCCACCAGCTCGGCAGTCGTCATTGCAACGAGGCGGTCTCGCGAGCCAGACGCGGACATTCCCATGGCGTCAATGATGCGCCACCAGCCTTCGGACTCGAACAGCCCTGATTCGCGGGCTGTCGTGTACATGGCTGTGAGCTCGTACTGGTTAGGAGCAGCCAGGCTGATGGCATTGTTGGGGACAGCCCCAGCCGGTCCAATTGCTGCATCCGCCTCGGAGGTCTTGGAAAACAGACGGCGAGACTTCGCCGTGGAGACCGGCTCAAAGGCGACCCGCGCGCCGTGCTGCTTAGCAACGGCAATCCATCTGGCAAGGACCGCCGGACTCCAGTTCGCATCCACGACCACCCACTGCGGCTGGGTGCGGCGGATCAGGGGCTCCCAGAACTTGTCAAAATCAAGCACGTGCTCCGGCAGCTCCATGATGCCCATGTCAGCCATAGCCACTACGAGGTCCCGCTTGGCGTCATTGATGGCGACATATTGTGCCGTACGTGCTCCAGACGAGGGAGGAAGGATTTGTACACCGGCTGTGGGGAGCCCCTCCTCCTTGAGCGTGGAGAGCGCAGCACGGCCACTCAGGTCATCTCCGACTACACTGCAGAATAGGACAGAGCTTCCGAGATAATGTGACGCAATGGCAACGTTGTGGCCTACTCCGCCCAGGCTCTGCCCGATGACCGCGGGATTTGATGTTTGAGCCACGGGGGTGATCTTGTCGCTCTCGCTAGCAAAGGGAGTATAGTCGCAGGACAGGTCGATCGCAAGAGAGCCAGCAACAAGGACATCTGCCTTATCCAGTTGTTCAATTGTACTCTTAGTTAGGGGTTTATGGTTCACCCCGGCCTCTGAAGTTGCTTGGTCAGCTCTTGCGTTCTCGGAGACTACTGGCATGTGTCTGCAACATTAGGGACATTCCAAGATTCGCAGTAATCTACCATCACAAAACCCATCAAAATGGGCAAACTCACCGGCCTTCAGACCCTCTATCAGCCTGCTCTAGTTTGGCGAGTTCAACCGCCACCTTGGTTGCGCGCTTCACGTTGGCCTCGACCAGCGCCCTGTTGGCAATCATGCTCTTCCCGCCACTAAGCTCCTTGATTTTCGCAAGCACGAAAGGCGTGTTATCGCTTCCTCGGTAGCCTTCGACCTCCGCCAAGCGGATCGCCTCTTCTATTATTGTGTCCATTTCGCCCTTGGGAATCGACTGCTCCGCTGGCACTGGATTGGCAAAATGGATACCAGAGTTTACAGGAAGCTTCGATTGCGCGTCTGTTTTGTGTTAGTACGAATAGCCCAGTGGAGTAAACAGAGTCCTAGCTGCCTTACATATGATAGCAGCCGCTTCCGCTTCATCTCGGATTACTCTGGGACTCTTGATCCCACTGTCGCGTGAGAAAAAGGCAGGAAAGTCCACAGAGCCTTCACGGCCATCTGCGAATGTCCCAACACAGACTCCCTCAGTTTCTAGATACTCAAGTGTCCGCGGGATATCCAGGAAGCTCTTGCATCCGGAACTGACGACAGCAACAGGTGTCCGCCCCAACTCAGTCAAATCGGCTGCATCGCGCTTAGGTCAGCTAGAAATCCCACGGGAGATGAGACTTGTCTTACGTACCCGAGATATCCATGGACGACTCCCCGCCACGGTGAACACCACCTATATCAGTCAGTCTACGCAAACCACAGCAAAGGCATATACCAACCGAGACCACCTGTCCCGAACACCTTGATACCAGCCAAGTGAGCAAGCACCATTGTTCCCGAAACGGTTGTTCCTCCATGGAGACGTCTACCAGCCATTCCCTGATAAATGTCAGTCAAGTAATTGAAACTTGCACATTCGAGGTCATCATACCAGACCGCATATATAACCAAGGTCTCTACGCGAAACCTTCAAGGCATCCTTTTTCTCTGCCTTCGATGCTAGCTCAATGAGCTCCTCGGCACTAAGGCCAACTCTAGCAACCCCATTGAGGATGCCGACTGTGGCGGGAATTCCACCATTGACTCGAACGACAGATTCAAGTAAAGAAGCGAGAGCGACACTCTCGGGATATGGAAAGCCTACCAGTGGTATTAGCCTCGCTTGCTACTCATAGCTATGTTGACTCAGACATACCGTGGGTATAGATCGTAGACTCTAGTGCCACTACTGGCTTTCCTGTAGCTACCGCATCACGAATCTCCTCTGATACTTTTAAGAATTTGCTTTGTGCGACGTCGTGATAGCTTCGAATTGCCCGAGGAGCTCTTGTTGCTGGTCCCCGAGCTCTGCAGCAGAGTCGGGTAGCGGCTTGTGAAAGCATGACAAGGACAGCGCTGTGCAGAAGGATACAAAACTCAAACTTGTAGAGAAATCAACACAATACACAAGGGGACAGAAAGATGAATGATCACAGTTGGCAATGTCTGGACGAAGACAAGTGGACTTACCACGGAGTCTGGTAGTTTAGCTATCGGTCTATCGCCGATAAGCTGATTGTGCCGCCTTGGCTGCCGTAACTAAGGTAGTACGGTACCTTACGGACGTACGTAACCGACTACTGTTTGGGGACACCTCAGCATCTGGACGCTTTTGGTCTTATTCCCTTTACTCCCTTCCATTCCCCCCAGTTCTTCCAATCCATCTTTCTGTGCTTCTCTCGACATCTCCAGGTGAGATAGATTGTGCACAGCGGCGCGGTCTGCTCAAAAAAGACCGCCCATAGTCACAATGAGGCCATTTACCGCAGTCGCTGCGCTCTGCGGGCTGCTGTTCTCAAGCAGCGTAGTATGCGCCGACTCCTCAACCAGCTCGCGAGTCGCTTTACCCGCAGACTTCAAGCCGCAGCAGGTATTCAAAAATGTGAATCTGGTCCGGAATACCAATTTGGAGAAGGGATATGTTCGAGAAACCGTCAATGTTGTCGTTGAAAATGTCGATAAACAACCGCAGAGCGACTACTACATACCGTTCCCATCGGACGTCTTTGGCAAGGTTGGAGGATTGGAAGTGAGGGACAAGAAGGCACCGGAGAAGGGCAGATTTGCCGTTGAAGCTTTGGAAGTCGAGTCACCAGGGTGCGTATGCAATTGACTGCCAATGGCTCTGTTTGATCGTGGTAATGCCGATGCCACGGTTGCTTCATCGGAGATTCTCTGCTTCTGGCCCTGTTATTCGGATATTGCAGAAAGCTAACCTTTTGGTCCTCGCAGCGACTACCAGTACTTTGTCGTTCACTTCCCCGAGCCACTTGCGCCGTCCTCTCAAATCACATTGGGAATCTCATACTTCCTCCTCAACTCTCTCACTCCACGCCCTGCCGCCATCGGCCAAGCTGACAAGCAGTATCTCACTTATTCTTTCTCCGCTTATACTCCGTCCGCATATCAAACGGTGACTCAGAAGACCAAGGTTAAATTTCCCAACACCAATGTGCCCGACTACACAACCACTTCCGGCTTGAAGTCCGGTTCCGATCCCGAGCGTCAGGGCACCACCTACACTTATGGTCCCTACGATACGGCCAAGGTAGCTCCAGGAATAACCTACCCTATCACTTTGCGCTACGAATTCACCAGACCTGTGATCACCGCGTCATTGTTGGAGCGGGACCTGGAGGTCTCCCACTGGGGTGGGAACCTGGCGACGGAGGAGCGGTACTGGCTTCGCAACAATGGCTCCATGCTCTCGAAGCAATTCTCTCGCGTGGAGTGGACTTTGACCAACTACCAGCAGTTGCCATCCTCGGCGGTCCGTGAACTCAAGTATCCTCTCAAGCCTGGTTCGGTCGATCCTTACTTCATCGATGACATTGGCAATGTTTCTACGAGCCGCTACCGGCCTGGAAAACTCCCCAAACGGGAAGGATCTCTGGAGCTTCGTCCTCGTTTCCCGATCTTTGGTGGCTGGAATTACAGCTTCCGCATTGGCTGGAATGATGAGCTATCCACTTATCTACGTAAGGCAGCTAACGGCGCCGACTCCTATGTCCTGAAGGTTCCTTTCATCGAGGGATTCAAGGTGCCTGAGGGAGCTCAGTACGAGAAGGCCGTTGTCAGAGTGATCCTTCCCGAGGGCGCGCGAAACGTCCAGTATCAGATTGTGGAGGGAGCTTCCAGCAATGGCCTCCCTAGCTCGAGCCAGATTCAATCTCACATTTCCAAGCACAAGACATACATGGACACATTGGGCCGCACAGTGTTGACCCTGACAGTCGAGAATCTCTCGGACGAGGCTCGCGATTCGCAGATAGTGGTAAGTTTAGMGCATAATCGTCGTTCTCTACGAACATTCTGAGATGCTGACAAAACGCTAGGTTACTTACGATCACTCCTTCTGGGACGGCTTGCGCAAGCCCTTCACCATCACTGCTGGAATGTTCGCTGTCTTCGTTACCGCGTGGGTCATCGGAAACCTTGATGTCAGCATCAAGAAGCGATGAATGCCTTTTTTCTTGTCATAATATGAGAACATTTCCTTTTATTCCTGTCTCGTACATGAAAGAACGCAGAGATATGTACAAGAGTCCCAACAACGTGTAGAGCCAAGTAGAGCGGCCCCTATGTATTACTCGAATCCGTAGGAAATTGCGAAATGGCCGAACCAAAACCCTCTCGGCATTGCAAATTCTAAAGAGAAAGTTGATACACATGCTGAGCCCCAAAACCCACAGCGACTGCCTTCCTTCCTTGCTCCTCTTCCATGCTCTGCAATATCGCAGATACTAAACGCCAGACGCCTTGCAAACCAACATCGATGCGAGTGAAATAAGTACAAAGGCCAGAAGTCAAAGCAGCCAGCCCCTTGAGGTATTCTTTTTTCTCAACGAGGCTCAGTCTACTCCTCGAATTTCCTCTTGACCCCATTTCCATTCGCGCCGGGTGGCATCTGTCTCGCGCGGCGTCTGCGTTCTTCCTCCTCGGTAGCGGCCTGGGCCTGCCGTTTCTTCCAGGCGGCTTTGATAGCTGGCGCGACGCGGATGAGATCATCCTCGGTGACGCGGTCCTCGATACTTTCAAGCACCTTCTCGACGGTGGAGATGTGGTTGGCGTCAGCCTTGTCGTCGCGGAGCCGATGGAACCGCCACCTCCCTTGCTCGTCCTTGAAGCATTCGACGATCGAGTCGTCCAGCGGGACCTGCAGGGCCTTGAGGGCCTCCCAGTCCGACTCGGTGATGTACATCTCGCCCCAGGGCTGATATTCGTTGGCGTTGAGCATGACAAACAGGTGGCAGATGGGGATGGCGTCGTAGTCCGGGTAGGGCTCGGTGATGCCGTCGGCCTCGTCGTCCGTGTCCGGTTCGAGGATGGGGAACTCCAGCCGCAGACGGAAGTCGATGGTGTTCTCGGAGGGGGGCTTCCACTTGAGGATGTGCTCGTCTGTGCCGATGCGGTAGGGGGTGCTGCGGCAGGTGAAGATGAGGCCATCGTTACCGTGGATCTTCTTGACTTTGGGGATGATCTCGCGGAACATCATTTCGATGCCGTAGCTGAACTGCGTGGATTTATCCTCGACCGCGAACGCGCGGTGTTTCTTTTCTTCCGGGAATTTCTTATAGAGCGCGTTGTACGGCTTCAGCACCTTCTCCTTGAAATATGCCAGTCGCTTGTCCAGGGTCCGGTGCATGAGCTTCTGCCCGTCCAACACTAAACAGTCGAACACGAGGAACTTGAGTTGCTGCGTGCCGTCCTCGTACGTGTCGTTGACCAGTTCGCCGTCGATCAGCGTGTCGACATGGAAGGACTGGAACGTCTCGTCGTCCGGCTGGGGGAAGTGCAGGCCCGGCACGTAGCGGTAGTCATTCTTGCGGTCGATGAGGTAGTGAATCTCTGGTACTGGCGAGTCCTCTTCACCACGTGCAAAATACATAAGACATCGGATGCCGTCCGTTTTCTCGCACACATAGTAGTCTTCCCGTTGGAGCTCGAGAAGATGCCGTTTCGCAAAACTGACTGGCTGCGCGCCGGGGAAATTGAGGTTATTGCGCCCTAACAAGGCGGCGACCTCCCGGCGGAACTGATCCGCCAGTTCGGGCTCGGCTTTGATGCCTACAGCATCGAGATCGGGAACGGATGGGTTGGCCATTTTCGACGGAGGGGTGACGGTGGCTTTGACAGCGCGTGGAAGGAGGGATGAGCTGAAGGGGAGTGTAGCTGGAGCGACAGGTGAGCTCTCGCCCGGAGGCGCATAAAGCGAAAGGTGTGCGCAATCTGTGATCGTAGGGCTGCAGCCGGGTACGGAAAGTTGAATCAGATTGCGGTCATTTCATCCAGATTGACAGCGAGGCGCATCCATGGCAGAATGAAGTTCATTCTTTGATCCCGGCGGCCTTGCGGAGGTACCAGTGGCGGCCTGAGGCAGAACTCCAACTGGTGTATACAGATTTGATACAACAGCTTCCTCCCAACAGAGCAGCTTTCATAATTTAGGATCAGATAGTTTTATATACCATCAAATAGATGACCTGCAATCTTTGATTTTGCTCTCAAAATTGCGTATGTAACTACGTAATATGTCCTTTGAATGTTTCTACGAAGGGACGAAGAGACCAAGAATCGACGTCGTTACGACTCAACTTGAGACAGGAAGACTCCATATGCCGTGTACAATAGATTTAGGGGTATCATTTCATCATAACCGAACAGCTCCAGACCGGAATAACCACATCCATGAACCTCCATTAAACGCCGTCACCCTCGCCAACCGCATGACAAGAAGAGATATTGGAACGGAATCAAGAAGACAGCCATCATCCAAGACCAGCTGGGACGAAGCACAGAAATACAAATCACGAAGAGGCGGCCACCGGTAGCTTCCTTGGAGCTGGCGCAGGGGTCTTTTTTGCTGTATCCGGTGCGTTATCCGATCCAGTCACGGAGACAGGGGATGCTAGGGGAATATCGTCTATCGGCTGAAACGGATTTCCATCGTTTGTTGGAGTTGTATCGCCGGTCGAGAAGAGTCCGCCGCCGCGAGCTCCGCCCAATGCATGAGAAAGCATCTCCTTGATTCGCACGTACTTGTATTTCTTCTTAGTCGAGATCAATGGAAGGTGGGCCAGGGGTTGTGGGCGCGAGCGAAGAATTGCCGCCATGACGGCGTCTTTCTCCTCGTCGGAGTCGACGGGACCGTTGTTCTCCAGATCATCTTGAAGCGGAGCATTCGCATCGATGGCCGCCTCTGTAGGATAGAAGAGAAACAGTCAGCCCTCCGTACTCCACAGTGAACGTGAAAAACGACAATAAACGAAGACACTCACTCTGCTGACGGGCCTGGTTCTTCTTCTGATACGCCTGGAGGAGCATGTCATAGGGCAAAGAACGGCCGGGCACCGCACGCTTTGCACCCATCGAGTGACTCTTGCACGTCAACGAACGCGCACACTGAGCGCCATTCGGCAGAATGACACCACACTGCTTCTCAACATCGACGGGACCCTTCGGCTTCGGCGCCTTCGGCTTAGGCTCCTCCTTCTTCTTTTTCTTCTTGGGCTCCTTATCCTCCTCGCCCTCGGTTTTACGCTTCTTGCCCTTCTTCGTCCCGTCCTCCGCCATGCCCTTGACGGCGCTCTTCTTCGCGCCCTTCTGCGCCTTGATCGAATCATCCGCGTCCTTGTCGCCGCCCGCGGCGTCGTCGTCCCCATCCTTATCCTTCTCTTTGGCCCGGTTCGCCGCGTCGCGCGCCTCTTTCTTCCGCCGTGCCTTCTCCTGCTTCGCTCGGATACAGCCGCGGATATGCTCTACCGCATTCTGCTTGAGGACCGGCCTCTTGCACGTCTTGCATATCACCGTCTCCAAATTGTCTTCCTCACGGGGCTTGCCCGTCGGGAAGGCAGCCATGGTCTTTTCATCGATCTCCGGTAGTATGGGCGACGAGCCGGGCGATTCGGGCACTTCTACAGTAGACAGATTTGACATTAGCCCCTTCCATCTCGTGTGTCTTGATAGTTTGCATCCCAGCGTATCCAGGAAAGACCTACCCGCAGCAGCCTTCTTCGCTTTGGCCGACTTGGCCGCCTTTTTCAATTTGATCTTCGTAGGTTTCGCATCTTTCTCGGAGTACTTGTACCCCGATGCGTCCACCAAGCTGCCCGAATTCGAGGCGACCGACGACGCTGTACACAGGAATACCACCAATTAGCGTTCATCACCCCAACACCAGGATCTCGTGACATTGTGCCCAAGTACCTCGACCAGAATCACCGTTAGTACCCATGACCGAGCGCGTACAAAAGGTTGGTCCGTAACTCGAGTGCGATGAACAGGCTTATCAAGCCAGTGATGGAAATTCCGACGTCTGATGAGCAGAGGTGGGCGACAAATGTGTTGATGAGTTCAAGTGCTGCGGCGGGTTTGGCTGTCTGTCTCCGGAATTGATCAGTTCACTTCGAATCGGGGCCTCCGCATGGGACGGTCACGTGAGGATATCAGTCTTTGATAAGCAGAGGGGAACAATACAAATCAATTCAATTCAGAACAGTTGCTAATAATTATTGAAAGCCAAGCGCTTGGAGCGTTTTTCTGAAATAGACTGATATTGCACATATGCTTTTACTATACAAGATGGAAATGTGAAAGGCGTCCAACGTATCCAGCGTTGCAACTGGGATTCTGATCTCGCAGCCGATGTGCCTCATAATCCATGCTTCGAGAAACACAGACTGCTATTCGTCCCTCCGAATCCAAAGCTGTTTGTTAGTGCCACTGTGATCTGACGCTCTTGTGCCTGATTCGGGGCGTAGTTGCAGTCAAAGCCTTCCGCCAGACGGTCCAAGTTGATGGTCGGTGGCATCACATTCTAACGATCAACAATCAGTAAACCACATTCATCTCAACTTACGGCTCCTGAACACACCTCATTGATAGCAAGAACTGTGAATAATGACTCAAGAGCGCCGGCGCCACCGAGTAAATGACCTACAGCGCCCTTTGTGCTGCTGACATTGATCTCAGCCGCGTTCTTTTTTCCTCCAGGGCCGAGGAGGAGAGACTTTATTGCTGCATTTTCCGCAGCATCCCCAACCACAGTTGACGTAGCGTGTGCATTGACATAGTCGACAGCAGACGGCGAGAGTTTGGCATTTTTTAGAGCCTTCTTCATCGCCATCCACGCCCCCTCGCCATTTTCCTTAGGCGCTGTCATATGGTGGGCATCGCCGGAGCAGCCGTAGCCTTTCAGCTCTGCGTAAATGCGAGCACCTCTAGCCTTTGCATGCTCCAATTCCTAATGGACAGAAAAATAGGCTCTAGTCAGCAGCAGTTGATGATGTCGTCGAAGAGGCCACCCACCTCTAGTACTAGCATGGCCGCTCCTTCACCGACCACAAATCCTTTTCGGTCTGCATCAAACGGTCTCGAAGCCTTTTCCGGGGCATCATTGAAATCGGTGGCGAGGCTTCTGGCTCGAGCAAAGCCGCCAATGGCCAATGGATGAATGCATGACTCCGCGCCGCCAGCGAGCATCACATCCGCATCACCACACGTGATAAAACGAGCTGCATCACCAATCGAATGCGCTCCGGTCGTGCAGGCCGTTGTGACCGCATGATTGGGGCCCTTCCCACATAAGTGTCTCGTTGTGATTGACTCAGTAGCAAGCACTTACCATAAACCCATACCTCATAGAGAGATGGCCGGCGCCCAAATTAATCAGGAGCTTTGGGACAAACAATGGAGATACCTTTCTGTACCCCTGCACAAGACATTGTCAACAATGAGAACGTCGGACTCATGAGCGGAAGGACCAACCCCCTTGTCATATGCCACGACCGTGTCATAGATCTCGTCAAAGTTCCCAATCCCGGAACCCAGACAAATACCCTAGACGCATGATCAGGCGCGGCGCTCCGAGTAAGTACCGCATCAACCGTTACGCACCGTAGCTTCCCTCTCCTCGAACGCCGTAGGCTTCCAACCGGCATCTTCCAGCGCTTCCTCGGAGGCAGCCATGGCATACTGAGCGAACCGAGCCATCTTCCGCTCGTCCTGCCAAACCAAACCCACCACGCTCAGCACAAATACTCCAATTCAGCCAGGAAGAGAACGACAACAATCATCACCTACATCTCTGCTTAGCCATTCCGAAGCCGTCCAACCGCCGTCCTGCTGGGGGCCTGCAGGTACTACAGCGGCAATCTGACAAGGCAAGTCCGCGAACCGAGCATCGCGGTGCTTCACATTGACAATACCGCAATGACCATCCAGCAGGCGTTTCCAGGTGCGACGGACCCCTACACATCGAAACAAGAATAAAGCGACATGATTAGCAAAGCCATCCGGCGCAAAGTTCCGATTTTGGTCGCATGCAAAGACCTTCCCCTTCTGGACAATCGGAGGAGTGGGGAATGAAAACCCGCCCAGTTGATGAAGGCCGAGGAAGAGAGAAATCAAAACAACGCGACGAGGTAGTCTCCCCAGCAGGGATATTGTCAAGGGGATCTACTGCAGGCGCAAAGATGTACTGGCATGCAGAAAAAGGAAAAGAATCAAAGGGGTGGATGGTATCGACTCACCAACACCCAGAGGTGTGACTGCGCCTAAACCCGTTACAACAACACGACGCATGGCATACTGGTGGACGGCCGAAGTAGACAAACAATGACTGTAGAACTTGTTCGAGAGGTAGATAACTATCAACCTATGATACTTCCTCTATGAAGTTCAAATGGGAATTATCTCCGACCCAGCCAATAAAGACCAGCGTTTAAGCAGTGGTCACTGGGAGTCTGGCGCGGACCAGAAGGGAAAGTCTGCACGACATCCATCAGAAAGTTGCCGCCCACTTTTCCTCTGGTCCATGGACATGGCCTCCAATTCCTAACAACAGCACAGCGGGGCTGCGAATGATGGAAAAGAGCCACAGGATTGATTCTGATTTGTTGCCAGGTTGATATATCATTTTTGACAGTTGAATATTCTTCGAAAGATAGAAGCATTAGGATTCTCCATGATTCGATGGAATCGCCGAGAGAGCCCCGGTTTGCTGCAGAATTGGAGAACATATTAAGAGCCAAGTCTCTCTTGTCGCATCCCTCTTCTTCTCTTGCCGTTGCAACTAGGAGCCCTCTGCGCTTCTCTAATATACCATTATGAAGACTACTCTGGTCAGCCTGCTCGCTTTGGCCGGAACGGCCCTGGCTCACGCTCATCACGACGATGCCGAAGTTGTACCCGAGAGTTTGCGGGAAGAACTGCTGAAGAAATGGGACCAGGAGGTATGAGGGATATTGTAGAGTTACCTATACACATACGTATACGATGCTCACTGTATCTAGTTTACATTTTCCGGCATTGCCAGCTTCGCCCACTTGAAGCCCGTCAAGTGTCTGGTCGAGCCCGATGAGCGTTACGACATCGCCGTAATCGGCGCGCCCTTCGATACAGCCGTCAGCTACAGACCTGGTACGTTGCTATCCATTCATATGCGACCGGCAAGGGTATCCTAATAATGTCACCGCAGGCGCCCGCTTCGGTCCGCGTGCGATTCGCGCCGCCAGTGCCCGCCAGATGGCCGGCACCAGCTACAACACGCGCGCAGGCATCAACCCGTACAGCTCCTGGGCGACGGTCAAGGACTGTGGTGACATCCCCATCACCCCCTTCGACAACGGCCTGGCCGAGCGCCAGATGTACGAGGCTTTTCTGGAACTCGGGTCTCGGCCGGCCGTGACGCCCGCGGACTCCAAGTATGGCACCAAGGGCATCTCCGCCGGCAAGGCGAAACTGGTGACGCTGGGCGGCGACCACAGCGTTGCGCTACCGGCTCTGCGCGCCCTGTACCAGATCTACCAGAAGCCCATCACGGTGCTGCACTTTGATGCGCACCTTGACACCTGGAATCCGATCCGGTACTCGGCCTACTGGACATCGGAACAGTCGCACTTCAACCACGGCAGCTTTTTCCACAAGGCGAGCCGCGAGGGCCTGATTTGCAACTCGACTTCCGCCCACGCCGGTCTGCGCACCCGGCTCACGGGCGTCGACGACAGCGACTACACCGCCCCCAATACGCCTGAGCAAGGGTTCATGCGCATCCACGCCGATGACATCGACGAGCTCGGCCCCATGGGCATCGTGGACAAGATCATCGAGCGCATTGGCCTCGACTCGGAACAGCCCGTTTACTTGTCCGTCGACATCGATGTGCTGGACCCCTCCACCGCGCCGGGAACAGGCACCCCGGAGCCGGGCGGTTGGACCACCCGCGAATTCATCCGCATCCTGCGCGGCATTGAGAAGCTGAACATCGTCGGCGCGGATATCGTCGAGGTCTCCCCCAGCTACGACAACAAGGGCGAGACCACCGCTCTGGCAGCGGCGCAGGTCGCCTTTGAGATTATCACCAGTATCGTCAAGGCCGGCGCGGGCGAGGATCTCGGCGGTTGGTACGGACGCAAGGCTGATGGTCAGGTACCTGCGGAGGAGATTGTCAAGGAAGAGACAAAGGACGAATTATAACGATTAGAATGCACCTCTGACAGTGTGGCTGAGGGGACGATCGCCAGTCCAGCTATTCCGCACGAGAATAGAAGTACATAAAGCTGCATATTGATCACATGATACAATTGAATGAAGTTAACGACCCTATTTCACTTGCTCTTCAGTTGCTCCGGAGCTCCCCAGCCTACGGCACACCACTTAGGCATAGGAGAAATCAATTCCCACGTACAAGTCGACCAAGCCAATCCGTGAACGCGAAGGCTGAGTAGAGCAACGCAGCGCAAGGGAATTCACCCAGCTCATGTCATTTGCTTAAATTGTATCTGTCGTCTGTACTGCTCTAGTTCCATGTGTCTTGCGAGAATCATAATAAAGCGTCATGAAGAGGGTCAAAGCATGTAGTCGAAGTAGGAGGGAATATTTGGTGACATGAAGCGACAGATCACGCAGCAAGATAAGAAGCAGGAAAAGGGGAAAAAAAAAATAAAAAAATCTGAAAACAGATTAGAATCATCAGCCAGCCAAAACAACGACGCCCTGACTTCCAACGCCGATAGAGACGATGAGAGGTTGATCGGAACCTGGGGTAATGAAAATCGAGGATCAAGAATCGTTTGATGAAGCAGGATCAAGAGCACGGGAATTGAGAAGAGGTAGGGGACAAATAAAGCTGAGAAAGAGAGATCAACCCGTTGCAGTGAACGAGTAGAAGAGAAAGGTGTTAGCTTGCCGCAAGAGGATTAACGTTGCGTATTGATGTTCGGCAAAAGGGCGAAG